CTGGGTGGCAGAGTGAGATTCTGACTCAAAAAAAAAAAAAAAAAAAATATATATATATATATATATACATATATATATATATATACACACTCACATACAGTCTTACTCTGTTGCCCAGACTAGACTAAAGTACAGTGGAGCAATCCTAGTTCACTGCAGCCATGAACTCACGGGCTCAAGTGATCCTGCCACCTCAGCCTCCTGAGTAGCTGGGATTATGGGTGGGCACCACGATGCTGGGCTAAATTTTTGTAGAGATAGGGTTCTCACTATGTTGATTAGGATGGTCTTGAACTTCTGACCTCAAGAGATCTTCCTGCCTTGGTCTCCCAAAGCATTAGGATTATAGGCATTAGTCCAGTTGGGTCTTAATATAAAGAATACAAAGCAGCTCGTAGATGCAAAATTTATTTGCATTCTGCCTGTATTTTGTTTCTAAGTAGAAATCCTAACCATTAAAGTAGGACAAAAAGTTATTGGTCATGACAAAAAAGTTTTGACATAAAAAAACCCAGTGGATTTGAGAATATCTTTATTACTGGAAGAAGAAAAGGAGTAAATAAAGGAGTTAAGTAGAGAAAAAGTCTTGATAGGAAGTACTTTTTGTAATTGTTCATTTTGTTTTACTAACCACCCCCCCCACTTTTGGATATTGTGTTATTTAAAAATAGTATTTCCCTGTGAAGTTATTTATGATCTCAAATGCAATAAAGAGCCAACTAAAACATGCCATAGCAAACTGCTTGAAATTGGAATCCTACCTTCTGTCATGTTTTAAAGTTTGAACACCTATGAATCAATTTTACATGGCATTAGAAACAGAATAAATTTTTCAAAGAGGAATTATGAAATAAAATTTATAGAGCTATGCCATTATTGTAGAAACAAGCCTATTTCAATTAGAGGGAAAAAAGCAGAGTCCAGATTAGTTTGCTGCTGCTTCTTTTACAGGTACATTTCGCAAAGCATACCTTATACAAAATGTTCAGATATCACAAAAAGGTAAAGGTCAATCAGCTTTCTTCCGATCAGTGTTGTAGCATTTACTTACTTTAAATTTATGTCAGCATGCAACTTCGATTCTACCAGTTAATTAAAACCTCAAATAATTTGCCCAATTATATATAATCCTCTTACATAAATTCACTCATTTAGGCAAACATAATGACAAATGATAAATTTAAGTTACATCTAAATAAAAACATTGTCAAGAAAGACTTCTTAAGATATAGCAGACAGCCGGGCACAGTGGCTCATGCCTATAATCCCAGCACTTTGAGAGGTTGAAGTGAAAGGTATTCCTGAGCCCACGGGTTTGAGACTAGCCTGGGCAACCAGGCAAGACCTCACCTCTAGAAGAAAAAAAAAAAATTAGCCGGCATGGTGGCACGTGCCTGTAGTTCCAGCTACTTGGAAGGCTGAGGTGGAAGGATCGCCTGAGCCCAATAGGTCGAGGCTACGATGGCCATGAGCATACCACTGCACTCCAGCCTGGGCGACAGTGAGACTCCAACTCAAAAAAAAGAGAACACTTTAAATTACAGTCATATATTCATTTTGTCCTTAAAATAGTTTAAGGGGAAAGTTAACTATTTCTGTAGTGGGAAAACACACTATTGATCTCATTATTCAACTTTTATTCCTAATTTATTTTTATTTTTTGAGTCTCATATTTTTTGAGTCTCATGTACCCAGCTCACTGTAGCCTCAACCTCCTGGGCTCAGGCGATCCTTCTGCTTCAAACTCGCGAGTAGCTGGGAATACAGGTGTGCAACAAGATGCTTAGCTGATTTTTTGTAGAGACAAAGTCTCACTATGTTGCCTAGGCTGGTCTAGAATGCCTGGGCTCAAGCAATCCACCCATCTTGGCGTCACAAAATGTTGAGATCACAGGTGTGAGCTACTGTGTCTGGCTTCATCCCTAATAAAAAAAAAATTTTTTTTGAACAAATGAAAGCAATCTTTTAGTTATGCTAGGAAAAGTGCCTGACCTGTAAATCTCCTAAGGGAATGAAATTTCAATTAACACTTGAGATTTATTTTTAAGACCAGTATTTAAGAATCTGATTCTATTATAATCTATCTCAATGCTATTTTGAATATCTGTTTTTTTCTTTACAATAAACAAAATCAATTGCCACATATTCTAAGTTTGCCAATGTCACCACTGATCAGAAATCTATTATTTTGTTCCCCTAAAAGATTATGGTTATGCCTTTTCTCTCAATAGTTTGCAAATACTACTTTACAGGTAATTTACATAGAACCGCAGCATTATTACTTACGTCATCACTCTGCTGAGCTTCTTGCATTACAAATTCTCGGACCATAGATGGACTAAACTCTACTAGATAAGAAAATATATCTGTAGCAGCTGATCTGACTTGCAAATCATCCATGCCCTGATAAAAGGAAAACTAGGTTACTTAGAGACCGTTAACAGAAGTTACTTCTCCATTTCCTTTCCCCCCTCCAAATCCATGTACTACCTTTCAGCTTTCTGGATTAGGATGTGATTCTACAATCAATATATATAACTTTTGCAAACTTTTCTTCTTCTTTTTGCAAATACTGTAACCTTTAGGCAGCTCAGTGCTTAGTTTCTGGTTTCTACTACCACAAAGAAATATTTAGAGAATTTAAATGTAAGAATCAGCACAGGAAATTATAAAGCAATGCTTTACAAATGCTGTAAAAAATCTGGAGAGGGGATTTATTTAAATATATGCACAGATTTGAATCAAGTCTTATAGCTAAGGCTTCAAAGCCTGCTAGAATCTGTCTTTTGTCCTCAATTTGCTAGGGCTACTCCTTGGTAACTGATTCTATCTTCCATTACTTGCCTAACAGAGTCAGCTTTTGAAAACTCTTTTTGGACATTTTTATCCTTTTGTACAACTTCGTTTTCTTAGGTAGTGATGCTGAATGCATTTTTCCTTCTAACACATGAAGATTACATGCATAAGTTATAACATCTTCAGGTGATTCTGAAAACATCTGCCGACCAAGAAGTTCTCAAAGTGCAGTTTGTCAATACTGGTGGAAAGCCCAACATTCTTTTCAGGAAGTGTACAGGATTAAAACTACTTTCATAATAACAACAACACTAAGACTCTGTCTTTCTCACTCTCAGTCAATCACAAGTATAGCAGGGTTTTCCAGAGACTACATGTGATATCACAACAAATTAAATGCAGAACCTGTTACGTGAATCTATCTTCTGCTAAGCCAGAAGGGACTAGAAAAAAGTTGAAAAATGCCATTCATCTCACCAAATTTTTTTATTTTGGAAAAATTATAAAACTTAATGTTGTTACAGAAAAGATAACAGTCTTGCAAAAACATGTGGGGCATTTTATTCACTAGAAGCCATATTATATGCTGTAAGTATTACGAAGACCCTAAAAAACTGAACGCATTATTGTAGTATTTTGATATCAGGTAAATAACAATCTAAATTATATAAGTCAATGCACTGCTATAATACTTTCTCATCCATAATATAAATACATTACAAATTCACAATTTCAAAAACATGAAAAGAAACTGTATAATTACCATTACAATTTCAAGAGCAGGAAGAATTCCCAATTTTGCCAAAGTTTTGAAAAATGCATCCCTGTTTTGAGGTTGTAATGTCTGAGAAAATGCACAAAATTCCTTGAAAAAATTAACCTGTAATGTTAAGACAATATAGTGAGGAGCTGATAAACAAAAAATAAACTCAGGCACATTATAATGTTATCTATCACAATATGGAATTCACCCTTTTGAAGGATCTCATCATTTCAGAGTGTCCTGGTTCCTCAAAACTTTAAAAAGCATATTAAGGGCCAGTATGGTGGTTCATGCCTGTAAACCTAGCACTCTGAGAGGCTGAGGTGAGAGGACTGTCTGAGCCCACAGGTTTGAGACCAGCCTGGGCGAAATGGTGATACTGTGTCTTTATGATAAATCAAAAAAACCAGCTGGGCGTGGTGGCGCACGCCTGTAGTTCCAGCTACTTGGAAGGCTGAGGTAGAAGGATGGCCTGAGCCAAATAGGTTGAGGTTGAGGTGGCCGTGAGCATGCCACTGCACTCCAGCCTTGGTGATGAAGTGAGATTCTGACTCAAAAAAACCCCCAAACCAAAACAAAAAAGCATATTAAAAACTAGCACCCCATTAAGAGTAAATCTTGCATTGTTACTCAAACATTGACCAAATAAATCTCTAAAGACATTCATTGTAAAAACACCATGTAGGCATTTGTTTTGACTTAAGAACATGAATTTTCACAGAATCATCCTGTAACAAACCATGGCTGGATTTCTAGAGAGCTCTCAAAATTAGAATACACTTATTAGGGCTGAAAAGGACATCAGTGTTTCCCTAGTCTAAAACACTAACTTTACAAATGAGAAAACTGAGTAGGCTAGCCACAAATAATTATATCAAAGACCACTTGGATGGTTTTAAGTCAGTAATCTTTCCTTATTTTGTAAAATCCCAAATATCTGATTTCATAATGTTTGGCAAAATGACAAACATTTGGTAAACAGCAATCACTACTTTCTTCCCCAAAACAAGATTTATATCTAAAAAAAAAGCACTTACAAACATAATCAACACCAAAAAAAAACCAAAAAACTTCCAAGGAACCGAATTTCATTTACCATTTCTTTATTTAAGAAGTAATTTCCTTACCTCGCTTGAAAAGAAAAGCACCTCTATAATGTGAATGTCTACAGCCATAAAAATGCATGATTTTGTAGTTCTAAGATAAACACTTATCTGATTTGGGGACTTATAAGGCATATAAACAGAGTGGGGAGGATACATCAGAACATCTTAAGAATTTTCTAAAATATATTAAAAAAACAAATTTTAGAGACTTTAGTCATTTTATAGTTCAATTCAAATACATATCTCTCACCTCATACTAATTATAAAAGATGATCTCTCAAGTTAACAAATTCAAGATTACAAGTGATATATGACTATAGAATAAGCACTCTTTTTTTCTTTTTAAATGAAATTGTATACAAGGAGATGTGGGAAGAATAACCACTGCTTAAGAGTTTGAATTTCATTAATAAATATCTTACCAATTCACGCCGTTTATCATCATCTGTAGCTTCATCTGTTAATTGTGCAAAAACTTCAGACAGAAACTTCTCATCTTCCTACAGGAGAAAAATAATTACTATAAAATATTAAGAGTATAAAGTTACACTCATTTGTATGATTTACACAAATAATAATAATACTAAAAGTAGTTGGAAATTCAGTAGCATTTTTATTATGAAACCTAAATTCCATGTGTGATAATTTCCAACACCATTAAACTATAATTACACACACATGAATATACAATTTAACCAAAAACCTTAAGTCTATGTACATATGTGTTCCCCATGAATCTAAAATTTAAAAAAAGAAAGAAAAAAAATCCCTCAACTATATAGAACTCTTTAGAAAATAAATATAGATGTTACACAAAACTCATTTAACTAGCCTCTCTAGCTCCCTCTCAGGGTCTATCTACTCTAAATCTACACACAATTAAAACAAGTCTGAGGAGCTCATTGTCAGTCCATAGCAGATCAGAAACCAAGAATTATAAGACACGGCATAGGGAAAGTAGTGAAGGAGGTTAAGTTCTGGAAGCTGATTAAAATTATAAAGACATTAAAACACAAGAACTCATGAAACAAAATAATCTACGGTCAGCCGTTGCAGTGTCTTACATGTTCTTGTGGCCCCTAAGGACATAACTAAATAACAAAGTATCACGGTAACTGCTTGTCATACTAATGACTCTGAGGTATTAAAAGACAGATAGTTTTTTCTTTCTAAATAAGATTTAAAGTCATTTGATAGACACACTCACAGATAGGTGTTAATGTCTCTAGGTACTATTTTAAAAGGACAAACAGAAAAATATAGTTGAGTATGAAGTTCTTAATATAAATTTGCATGTCTAATGTCTAGAAGGAATATACGTTAAAATGTTAAATGTGAGCCTGGCTTGGTGGCTCAACCTGTAATCCTGCGCCTTGGGAGGCTGAGGTGAATGGATTGCCTGAGCCCGCGGGTTCGAGACCCGCCTGGGCAACTTGGTGAGACCTCATCTCTACAATAAATAAAAAAAAAAAAAATTAGCCGGGCGTGGTATCACGCGCCTGTAGTTCCAGCTACTTGGAAGGCTGAGGCGGAAGGATCGCCGGAGCCCAGCAGGTCGAGGCTGCGGTGGCTGGGAATGGCCACTGCACTCCAGTCTGGGCGACAGAGTGAGACTCCAACTCAAAAAAAAAAAAAAAAGTTAATTGTGGACTAGCGCGGTAGCTCATGCCTATAATCCCAACACTTTGGGAGGTGGATGTGGGAGAACTGCCTGAGTCCAGGGACTCAAGACCAGCCGGAGCAACATGGCGAGACCTCATCTCTACAATAAATAAAAAAAATTGGCGGGGCGTGGTGGCGCAGTTACTTGGAAGGCTGAAGCAGAAGAATCACTTGAGTCCAGCAGATAGAGGCTGCAGTGGCCATGAGCGTGCCACTGCACTCCAGTCTGGACGAAAGAGTGAGATTCAGACTCAAAAAATAAAAAATAAATAAAAAATGATAAAGAATATGTTTATTGTGGTTATCCCTTAGTGATAGATTATGAATGATGTTCTTGTTTGCTTACCTAGATTTTCTAATTTTTATAGTAAGCATGGACTATTAAATTATAAAGTAAAACAATTGACAAATATTGAAATTCACTTTAAAGATTTCCATCAAAATTTGCTAAAAGAAAATTGGTGGTGCTTTTAAAAGCTTCAGTTATCTTCAAAATTCACTTTTATGAAATGTAATTTCAATTAATTTAATTAATAGCATTGTTCTAAGAAATTTAGTAGCAGTAATATCTGTATATTTGATAGTAAAATCAAACCCTAACATGTAAAGGATATAGCTCAGTAACTGCCATTTTTCTTACTGAGAATCATCCATTAGGTGGTATCTATCCTTTAAATCCTTTCTGAAAAATGGTCAAGCATATATGAAAAAAACAAATGAAAACCACTAGGTAGGATCACAGCGAGTACTGTATAACATGCTGTTCTACTAAACATTAACTCAAAGACTAAACAGTAGGAGATAAACCATTTCAGTAGTCTGACTCAGAATGGTGTTTCCTATTTCGTTAACTCCTTTGAAAGAACTTTATGCTCTATAGCCTGAACATCCATCTTTTGAGGGAGTTCAAACATTTTATTTATCCCTGAAATCATTTTTTCCAAATACTTTTAGTCTCATGATTTCAAGTTTGAGTCAATACATATTTACTTCCATTCACTTTGACACCTTTTATAAATTTTTCTTTTTTATCTGCACCTCTCTCAAATATTCTTCCTTTCCTAACTGAAAATTTTTAACTTTTCCATGATATTTTCATAGAAAAAAGTTTTAACTCCTTCATAAATGCAATTTCCCATTTGAATTCTTCTTACATGATTTAGTACTTGGGAGCTGACAGCTAGAACTGCATAAAATATTATACAGACACACTCTCAACTATTACAGTCTATTAAGAGAATGCTTTCTGATGCTGAGTACTTTTTTCCCCGATTTCCAACATTACTCTTGATACTATATTCTGTAAGTTACAAAAGTACCAATATATGCTTTTATCATTTAAGCTCCAACATATAGTCTTTAAGCCCCATTTCATATATCCGATATATGTATTAAAAAAGCCTATCATATAGTAGGAATATTTATCTCAAAATCTGTAGTTCTCCAAGCAATTAAACTAATGTCTTTAGATCCCTGTAGGGTTTTTTCCGGCTGGTTTTAAAAAGAGCTTTGTTTCAGTAAAGAATGAAATATATAAGCTGAATTGTGTTACTGCTTTTCCATATAACATAAAACATTGTGGGGAAAAGAATGACTGCTTCTAAAAAAGTCTAAATAAAACCCTTTTCTTCGCAAGAATGTAAAAACAGGCAAAACAAAACAGAATTCATTCATCATTTTTAGAATCACATAAACTCAGAAATTTAGAATTATATCAGATTTTACAGATTTTACAACACACAAATTACACAGTCCAATTTTAAATTTCAATAGACTGAGGTCCAAAGACTGAACTTATCTGAGGCTAGCCAGTGACAGAGATGGATTTAGAATCCAGATCTACCCTTGTGAATCAGATTTTCATTACAAAATAAACTATAGGATAGTTTCTAAGTAGTTCAAGCTTAATAATCAAATCAAAGAAAATAAGCACATACAAGCCAGAATGGCCAAATCTATTATGAAAAAATTTAATACGTTAAATCCTACACTTGAGTTCAAAAAAATTCCTACAAACAAAACAACCATATCACTTTAAATAGTTGTTTAAAAAGGCATTAGAAGTGGGAGGCAAGATGGCCACAGAACCGGTCGGAGTGTGTGAGTCTCTGTATGGGTGAGTGTGCGTAAGGACGAGAGTGTGTGTGTGTGTGTGTGTGTGTGTGTGTGTGTACACAAGTGGGCATGAGTGGGGACACAGAAACAAGTGCCTGGGACTCCTCTGCAAAAGCAGCTGCCACATGCTAATGCTCTGAATCTGGTATGCCCCGAGAACAGGAGTAGGTGCCACTATCCGGGGCATTTCTCTCAAGAAGAGATCACAGAGATAAGCCGCTACTCAGCACCTGGCACGCTGGCACCTGGCTTGCAACCACCACCTGATCAGTAACTGGCAGTGGGGACCGTGGAGAAAGAGTGGTGAGGAAATCAGGAGCCAAGTGCCACCAGAGGAGAAGATGTGGATTGCCACCACTGCCTCTGTCCCCGAACTCCGGCAGAGATGTGCTCCCGCCAGTCCTTTACTTAGCAGCCTGCAAACTGAGACAGAGGAATGAGCTCTGCACCCTTCTGAGATTGATTGCTGTTGGTCCGGAGAGTATACTCTAGGTACATGATATCCACAGAGGGAGAACCGGCACACAGCCCCAGTTGCACCAACCCCCACACCGGACCATTCACAGGACGAAGGGTGCAATCAGAGTGGGAGAACTAACTGTAGACATGTAGGGGTAGCTTCTGAATCTTAGCTCCCCAATAACTCTTTATTCAAATCTCAAAATTGCAAACAAAAACAAAAACAAAAAACCCCAAAATAGCACAACCCCTCACCCTCATGTCAAAAACTGAACAAATCCAGAGGCTCTACCTAAGGAAGAACAGGGGGTTGAGCAAACAGAAGTGAAAGCTATTCCTTTTCTGAGCTACAAAATTAAAGAGAAAAGAAAAATCCTTCACAAATGAAGAAAAATTAATGGAAGACTACAGGTACCCCCAGAGTCCCAAGAAGATATAACCCAAGAATACAGACTTTGAAGACTCCTAGAATGACTGAGTCTCAGACCACAAATACAGAGATCCAGGAATGGTTGGAGAGGATAAGAATTAAGAGAGACAAAAGGAAAAAAAATGAATAAAATGAGAACAGAGATATTGGCCATAAAAAATGCTGTCCATGAAGTAACAACCTGACAAGGACAGAAAGCAGAATTATCCAAGCAGAAGAATCTCAGAGCATGAAGAATGAAACATGAAACTAATCCAATCTGTTAAAAGCATAGAAAGGAAGCTTAAAAAGAGAACAAATCCCCCAAGAGATGTGCAATTATATAAGAGACTGAACTTACGCCTGAAGCAGAAAGGGAGACAGAGAAAACCTTGGGAAAAACATTCCATGAGGTTATACAAGAAAACTTCCCTCAACTCATCAGACACACCACCATTCAAACACAAGAGATTCAGAGAACCCCTGCAAGACATCAAATGAGAAGACAAACTCCCAGACATATAGTAATTCACTTACACAAAATCAGTATAAAAGAAAAAAATTGTAAAGGTGAGAAGAAAGGTCAGACTACCTACTATGGAAGACCAATTAGAATAGAGGCAGATTTAGCTACAGAAACACTATAGGCTAAAAGGGACTGGAGTCCAATCTTTTAAAGTTTTCCAAGATAAACAATTCCAACCAAGAATCTCCTACCCAGCTAAAAGAGGCTTCATCAGCAATGGAGAATTAAAATCCTTCCCAGACACCCAATCCCTAAGACACTATGCTGCTTCCAGACCTGCCCTACAGGAGATGCTTATGAAGGTATGAAGCACAGAAAGAAAACAAAAG